TCCCTCGGGGTGAACGTCTCTAGCTTCCCACGGGCGGGCAGGTAGCAGACGTGGCTGGAGGTGAAAGGGTGAGTGGCCCTCTGTCTTGAGTGCCCGTCCTGCGCACACCTGCCCGTTCAGACACATCCCCTTGGACAGTGGTTTTTTTTTTGGTTCTGTTTTTGTGGCTGACTCGCTGTTATCCAGGCCAGGCTGGAAGATGAGGCCTTTCTGCCTCAGCCTCTCACGGTGCTGGGATGATGGGCGTGAACCGACCTGCCTGATTTGTTTTGTTTTGTTGGTTTTTCAAGACAAGGTCTCACTATGTAGTTGAGACTGACCTGGAACTCGCTATGTAGCCCAGGCTGGTCTTGAACTCACAGCGATCCTCCTGCCTCAGCCTCCCGAGTGCTGGGGTGACAGGCGTGCGCCACCACGCCCGGCTCGACCTGCCTGATTTGTGAGGGGCTTCTTCTTATCATGCATATCTCACCTGAACAGCACCTACACAGGAACCCTTCCTGGGCACTGCTGTGGACAGTCACTTTATCTCCCGCCCTCCTACCTCACCTGGCTTATTTCCTTGAGGAAAGCACTGCCTGAAATCAATTTAGTCATTCATCTGTTTAGCATTGTTCTCCTCCATCAGGCATCGGACCCCTGTAGATGTGTGCAGTGGGTGTTTAATAAATACTTGAGCAATGAATGGGATTTTTAAAAGGGAAGGGAGGGGCTGGTCCTCCAGGGCAAAGGAGCCCAGAACTCACCCTCCTGGGGGCGCAGGGCCCTGTGGGTGCCATCACGGAAAAGGACCCCACTGCCTCCATCCAATAGGTGGTAGGCAAAACCGTATTTACTGGAATAATCCACCCACTTGGGGGCCCACAGGACAAGCCGCTGCTCCCCTGGGGGGTCCTGAGTTGCTGAGCACAGAGATAGGGGACAGGAGGCAGGGGTTGGGTGGTGCTACAGGAATGGCCTGGGCAGAGGCCTGGGATGCTTTTTCTTTGTACTGGGGATTGAACTCAGGACTTTGTGATCTCGAGGCAGGGGGCAGAATCACTGAGCTAAATCCCCAACCCAGGGACACTTTTGTGTGTGCATGTGTGCGCTACTAGGGACCAAACCCAGGGCCTCTGCACTGAGCGCCATCCCTAGCTGTTTGTTTATTTATTTTTGGTACCAGGGATCAACTAAACCCCCGGCCCCCTGGCTGTTCATTTTTTATTTTGAGACAGGGTGTTGCTAAGTCACTAAATTGCCCAGGCTGGGCTCAAACTTGGGATCTTCCTGCCTCAGCCTCCCAGAGTCCTATGGGCTTCATGGCAAACCAGGAGGCAGAGAAAGAATGGGAAAAAAGCCCAAGAACTGGACTGCTAACTCTCCCTTCCAGGGGAGCCTCTGGGGTCCTGAGACACTGCTAGAAATGAGAAATTCTGAGCCACTCTGTGTGCCGCCTCATAAAATGTTGCTTTATTTTATTTAAAACTTTTGCACTCAGAAGTCAGAGTTGCTGCCAGGGTTTTAGCTCAGTGGTTCTGCCCTGCCTGGCAAGCACAAAGTCCTGAGTTTGATCCCTGGTAACAACAACAACAAAAAAAAACAAGTCAGAGTTGCTTAATACTGGTATAGTTGAAGAGGAAGATTAACTTCTTTTCCAGTATAGCAGGGTAACTACAGATGACAACAATTAACCCAGTATTTCTAAATAGTTAAGAGATAACTGTGTACAGTGGCACATGCCTATAACTCCAGGTTTCAAGGAGGCTGAGGCAGGAGGATGGCGTGTTTGAGCCCAGGTTGGGCAACTTAGCAAGACCCCGTCTCAAAATCAAAAAGCTCAGTGGTGAGCACCTGCCTAGCATGCAGGAAGTTTCCATTCCCAGCACTGTAAAAATCAGAAACAAAAACCTGAAGCCAAATGGCGGGCATCATGAGGACAAGGCCCCGGCCTGCCGACTCCGAAGGAGGTGGATGGAGGCCGAGATGAGGGAGAGAGGGCCTGCGGGCTGAGGGCCCGGGCTGCTGAGGATGAGTCCATCTTGGGAGGGGTGGCAGTGGGTGGAGGTCCCGAGCTGCGCCCTCCTCAGTCCTCAGGTGGTCCCCAGAGAGGCTGAGCAACCCCAGGAAGTTGCCATCCCCTGCAGATGCGCTCACAACACCTCCAGCCTCCCAAGGAAGTCCCAGAATTACTGGGGGAACGTGGGGGGGGGCGGTTAAGACAAAGCCCTGGGCTGGGCCAGGTTCTTACCCTCAGGGCCAGCCTCCAGGCACAGCTGAAGGTTCCTGATAGCTGCCTCCACTTCCAGCTGTGGGGTCCCCTTGGGCCCTGGGGGGACAGCTACTTGGGGGGTCCACAGGCCTGGCTCCCACCAAAATGTCCCTCCAGCCAGCTGGTCGAGGACTCCTGCATCCAGGAAAATCTCATCCTCCCCCCTTTTCTAATTTTTAGTTTGAGACAGGGTTTCACTAAATTGCACAGGCTGGTCTTGAACTGTGATCTTCCTGCCTCAGCCTCCAGGGCGTGCTGAGATAACAGACATATGCCACTGAGTCCATGTGGGATTCCCCCCCCCTCCCCCGTACCGAGGATTGAACTCGGGTCCTTGCGCTTGCAAGGCAGGCCACCGAACCACTGAGCTAAATCCCCAGCCCCTGTTTTGTTTTGTTTTGAGACAGGGTCTTGCCACCTAGTATAGGCTGGCCCTGAAATCACTATGTAGCCCAGGCTGGCCTTGAACTTGCAGTGATCCTCCTGCCTCAGCCTCACAAGTGCTGGGATTACAGGCGTGCGCCACCACAGCCCCGCGCCTGGGGGACTTTAGAGGTGCTATGGGTTCCTTCATGTCCTAGTTTCTCACCTCACTGCCCCACTCCATGGGGTACGGCTCCAGCCCCTCTGCTCCTGAGCCCAAGTCCTCTTTGGGGGTGAAAGGGCCTGAAGAAGCACACATTTTTGGGGACTAGAGCCAGGGCCTCATGCAGCAGCCTCATTCCCTCTCTGGCACCGATCGGAGACGTTGTGGGGTGCAGTACTCACGGTGTGGCCGGCACTCAGCGAGCAGCAGCCGGCCCACCTTCCGGAAGAGGCTGCCCAGAGGCCGGGGGACAGCGAAGTTGGGGGGGCTGCGGCAGGAACGGGGCGGCAGGCGCTCCGGCGTGAAGCCCTTCCAAGTGAAGGATCTGGGGTCAGCTCCTTCTCTGGGCGACCAGCTCCCCATTGTCTGCTCTGATGGAAAGAGGGGGACCCGGGCCGAGGGCACCCACCCAGCTGACGTAATGCTCGGCCAGTGGCCGCCACCACCCACCTGAGTGAAGAAATTGTCCTGGAGTAGCTGGTCCAGGCTGGGCCTCTCGGCCGGATTGGGCGCCAGGAGGCGGGCGATGAGGTGGCGAGCGTTGGGAGACAGGTGGGCGGGCTCCGGGTAGCGGCCAGCGCGGATGTTTTCGTACATCTCTGAGACTGGTGCCACCGGAAAAGGTGGGCTGCCGGTGAGCACTGTGTACCTGGGCAGTGAGGGTGGGAGCAAGATGTCTGGGTGTGCAAGGCTTGCTCACGAGCCTACCTGGGTACACCTGGCCATGCCTGCACCCTTTATCCCGTCATTCCGGCCGCTTTTCTGAAACACCTCTGGAGTCCTCTTTTGTGAGTGTCTTTAGTTGTGATGCCACCGGAAAAGGTGGGCTACCAGTGAGCACTGTGTACCTGGGCAGTGAGGGTGGGAGCAAGATGCTCTGGGTGTGCAAGGCTTGCTCACAAGCCTACCTGGGTACACCTGGCCATGCCTGCACCCTTTATCCCGTCATTCCGGCCGCTTTTCTGAAACACCTCTGGAGTCCTCTTTTGTGAGTGTCTTTAGTTGTGCTGTCCTGGCTGCCTCTATGTCCTAAACGGATTCAAAACAGTTCCCTTTCATGGTCATTTTGACTTTGGGGAAGAACCAGAAGTCACATGCCGCCAGATCCTGTGAATAGGGTGGACGAGGACACCAACATGTTTTTATGAAGCTGCCTTTTCATCCATGGTGCTTGGCAACCACCTTCACCATGTTTTTGATCACACATCTTTTTTTCTAGCGCTGGGGATCAAACTTAGGACTTTGTGCTTGCCAAGCAGGCATGGAGCTGTTGAGCTACACCCCCAGCCCTTTTAGGCAGGCCCCAGCACCACTGAGCTAAATCCCCAGCAAAATTATTATTATTTTTATTGTTTGTTCCAGGGATCCAACTCAGGACCTTGTGCTTGTGAGGCAGGTGGCGGCACTCCCGAGTTATGATTACACTTTTTAAAGACACTCAGGAAAGAAGACTCCAGAAAGTGGCCAGAACCGTGGAAGCAAGGATTTGATGAGACTTCATAACAATTTGTCTTTCACTACAATACATTTTAAGCAATGAAATAGGAACTGTGTATTTTGATCCCCGTTTGCGTCCTTCTCATCCCTGCACACCGTAACAATAGCAGGTGCAAGTCCCCACCTGCGCCATTCAGGCTTCCCTGGGCACTCGCACCTGCCTTCACCCGGCTGTACCTGGCCCACCTGGTCCTCCCACCCCCCCCCGGCCCCAGAATGCCAGGGATCCCACTCACAAGATGCATCCTAGGGCCCAGATGTCAGACTGGCACGTGTGCCCATTTCTGGACACCACCTCTGGGGCCAGGAAGTTTGGGGTCCCGCAGAGCACCCTGGGAGGGGAGGAACGGGGTTGTAGGAAGGCCACGGCCCCACGCCAGACTGGGGCCATCCAGAGGGACCCTCAGAGCTCCACTCACCTGTGGCAGCGGCCCCCTGGCCCCACCCTGGCAGCCAGCCCCAGGTCTCCGATCTTCACCTCCATGTTGTTGTTTAGGAAGAAGTTACCTGTGGGGTGGGCCCCCCCAAGTGAGGGGGATGAGATGGCCTCCAGGTCCCTGCAGGGCCCCTCCCTCCACCCCACCCCACCCACTCACTGAGCTTCAGGTCCCGGTGCACGATTCTCCGCTGGTGCAGGTAGCGCAGGCCGCTGACCACACCCCGCAGGTAATAGCGCACCTCAGGCTCCGTCAGGGTCTGCCTTGCCTTGAGCACATGGGCCAGTGACTGCCGGTGACCGGAGAGGAGCACCAGCCCCACAGGCACAAGGGAGAGCAGAGTGAACTCAAGGTACCCACCCGAGAAGACAGAGGCAGGAGCAAGTTGGCTGAGGCAGGCACAGCTGGTTGTGGGTGGACGCAGGTGGGCACAGGTGAGCCCAGGTATATTTAACCGGGAAAAGTGAGTTCAAGGGATTCCAGCGAGTCACAATTCAGTTCAGCTGAGGCAACTGCCAGAGTCTCAGGTAACCCAGTGCATGCAGGTGGGCAGAGCTGGGCCTGAGTGAGTTCACCCGGGCCACACAAAAACAATTAAACTCAGAGGAAGCTGGGTAAGGTGGCACATGTTTCATCCCCGCACTCTGGGAGGCTGAGGCAGGAGGATCGCAAGTTTGAGCCCTGCTTGGGCAATTAGCAGTTTAGATTGATCCTGTCTCAAAAAATAAAAGGGACTGAGGATGTAGCTCAGTGCAAAGGCCAAGGATTCAACACCCAGTACAAAAAGAAAAAGTTCCGATGAGCCCAGTGGCCACACGTATCTACGGCATGAGCTAGACACAGGTGTGCCCAGGCGAGTCGGCAGAGCCTAGGTCTGCACAAGGAGATAAAGGATGCCCACAGCCTTTTGGGGGTCTAGAAGAGCTGGTGGCCGGACAGAGGGCATCCAAAGAGCACAACATGGGCGCAGGTAGAAGCGGGGGGCGGGCGCGGGGGGAGGGA